AAATACAAATCCATGTGCACATATAATTGTAATTATACTTATACTCTTCTGAAATAAACAATATACTATTTACATGCTTGCTTCTAGATGGAACTATGCTCAGTATATCCAGTAAAAAAACTGTTGTGAAGTCCTTTATGGGGATAAAGTTTCCAGAGGTGAAATTTTAGGTAGCACACAATTTCTTCATATATGTAATACTTCTATATTGGCAGTAAGCTAACTTCTCAATGTGTAAGCATTCCGAAATCAAAGCGAAACAGTCTAGTACCGTTTTTGTCAATGTATTGTGTACTTGAGTGCCGTTTTTGTATATGTGTTGTGTACATGTTTATTTATAAACGTATGTGTTCCTTTTCTTTCGTACGTGTTTATTGATATATCTGTACTGTAGTGTTTTCGGACGGTACTAGCTCTTACTGGCAATATAGGAGTATTACATATATGAATTTCTTACACGCATGGTTGCTTTTCAGCACCAATTAAAGAAACTTAAGAAATATTACAAAAAAATATGCGTATGGTGCATTAATTTTTGAAAGAAATACCATATAATTTATGTACTCTGATTAATAATATTAAAAAAATGTATTAGAACCACCGTTTAATGTTATATTTGATGCAAACCAATTTTGCACATTTAGAAAATTATGCCGATAAGCAAGATAGAATTTGGGAAAGTAAGTGCCTGGTTGTAGAATATCTATGTATTAAAAAAGTATTTAATTAAATGAAATTGTGTTTAATAGAAATGTTATAAATCAAGTGGCGCTAGTTAGGATGTGCTCCAAACATTTGGCGAACTTTTTTTCGCCTTCTCAACGTGCTAAGTTACAAGTTAAGATGACTGCCGCCACGGCCGTTAAGAAGCCCGAAGCAAAAGGAAAACAACCTTCCAGGAAGCTGCCTGCTGTCCCCGAGTCGTAGCTGAAGTTCAGCAAAAGCAGGTCAGCAAACGTGCTGCCCGGATCAAGCGTAAACTAAAGCGCTCTGCTGTGATTGCACTCCGCAAACGCGAAAACTTGGTGCATCTGAAAAATATCAAGCTAAATATCTCCGTGATGGACGCCGTGAGAATAAGTTGCGCCGTCTGGCAAAGAAACGCGGCCCATTCTACGTGCCTGTGGAAGACAAATTGGCTTTTGTGATCTGTAACCGCGGTATCAACAAAGTTGCACCAAAAGTGCGACAGTTTGTTCCACATTAACCACGGATTGCTCATCAAATTTAACCATTAATATGCTACGCATTGCCGAACCCTATATCACATGGGATTATCCAAATCTTAAATCAGTTCGTGAATTGATCTATAAACGTGGAATTGTCAAGCACAACCATCAACGTGTCCCAATCTCTGACAACTTTGTAATCGAACGCAAATTGCGCAAAGCGCACGATATTCAGTGAGTTGATTATTTAGCGCGCGAAATATTCACTGTTGAATCCCACTTCAAGAAA